GGTGGTCACGCTCACCTGCTTGACTATGTCATCGTACGTCAGCGTGATATGCCTGAAGTGCGCATGACACGTGTACTGCGTGGAGCTGAGTGTGGCACTGATCACAAGCTGGTGCGGACCAAACTGTACATATATTTTCGTAAATCCATGTGTTGCAATTCCGCTGTGAATCGGAGGCGTAAATTCGACATTCTCTCTCTCGGTACTGTGGAGAAACGTACTGAGCTAGAGAAGGCGATGGCTGCACGCCTGTGTGATGTGGACTGCATAGCCACAGTGGGCGACCTGTGGCACCACATTCGCGACCAGGTGACAGCTGCTGCCGAGGAGACGATCGGGCGCGCAAACTGTAAGCGGCCTGATTGGTTTGATGACAACAATGCAACGATCGGCGCATTGGTGTCGGAGAAGAATGCAGCATTTGCTGCACATGTTGCCGACCCCAGTGACTTGGGGAAAAGTAGAAAGTTTCGCAAACTACAACGGCGACTGACCCGAGAGCTCCGTCGCATTAAAAATGCATGGTGGACGGAGAAGGCGAAGCAGATGGAATGCCAAGCCGAACGCCGTCAACACAAGGAATTCTTTGACTCCTTGAAGGCGGTGTATGGACCGAGATTGGAGCCGCTGATCGATGGAAACTCAGGCGCTACCTGCACACAGACTGCAGACATAATGCAGATCTGGCGAAATCACTTTGACTGTCTCTTGAACAACCGTTCAGAGATCGACTGGCCTACATTGAACGGCCTGAAGCAGCACGATGTGAAGGTGGATCTGGCGGATACGCCGACACTGGATGAGACGCAGAGAGCACTTGCTCAGCTGCGAAACGGCAAGTGTGCCACTGTTGACTGGATCCCGCCTGAAGTATTAAAACACGGCGAACTGGCGTTGGTGAATGCGCTGCACCACTTGGTGCAACTCTTGTGGATTGAGGAGGAGGTGCCTCCTGAGCTGAAGGATGCCCTTGTGCTACCACTGTACAAGGGCAAAGGTAGCAAGCAATGTTGCACCAATTATCGTGGCATCAACTTGCTGAGTTGTGTGGGCAAGGTGATTGCCCGAATCCTGCTCAACCGCCTCGTCGGTCAGGTTGTGGGACCTAACGTGGCGGAAGAGCAGTGTGGATTCCGTTCGGTTCGCAGCACTATAGATATGGTGTTTGCGGCTCGTCAGTTGCAAGAGAAGTGCAGAGAACGACACCAGCCATTGTACTCGCTTTTTGTTGATTTCACCAAGGCATTTGATACAGTGAACCGCAAGGCATTGTGGCTGGTGTTGGGTAAGCTTGGTTGCCCGCGTAAGTTTGTAAGTTTAATTGAATGTCTGCACAGTGGTATCCGAGCGAGGGTGCAGCTGAGTGGAGAGACCTCGGATGACTTTGCGGTTGTCTCTGGTGTGAAGCAAGGCTGTGTCTTAGCTACTGCGCTGTTTAATATATATCTTCATGCAATGTTGTCCTGTACTTTTGATGCCGCTTGTGCTTACGGTGTTCGTGTGGAGCACCGTATTCATAGTGGATTGCTGATCATCCGTCGACTCGGTGCGAGAACTTTAGTCTGTGAGACAACCATCCGTATGTTGCTGTTTGCTGACGACTGTGCGTTGTTTTCACACAGCGCGGATGAGTTGCAGCACATGACCAGTGCTCTGGCTTCGACAGCGGCCAAATTCGGGCTCACCATCAACACAAGCAAAACTGTCTGTCTCTTTCAGCCTTTACCGGAGGTGCAATCTTCAATATTGCCGCGAATCAGCATTGGTGCTGAAGTATTGGAAACCACCTCCCGTTTCTGCTACCTTAGGAGTGTGATGTCGACTGATCAGCAGCAACACAGTGAGCTGCGTATCCGCGTGTCGAAGGCAGCGACAGCATTCGGGAAGCTAGAATACCGAGTGTGGAACAACCATCAGCTTACAATTGGCACGAAGCTGATGGTGTACAAATCCATGGTACTGTCCGTTCTTCTATACGGCAGTGAAACGTGGACGATGTACCGTCGGGATGTGCGATATCTCGAGCGATTCCATCAGCAATGTCTGCGAGGAATTTTGCGCATCACTTGGGGCGACAGAGTTGCAGACACGGAATTTTTGCGCCGAAGTGAGATGTATGCAGTGGACTGCATACTTTTATTGAGACACCTGAGGTGGCTCGGTCATGTGAGCCGTATGGATTCGACGCGGATACCGAAACAGCTCTTATACGGTCAGCTGAGTATTGGGAATAGGCATGTGGAGAAACCAAAGTTACGTTACCAGGACATGATTAAAGTGAGCCTCACACGTTCTAACCTTGATTGCAGACCATGGGAATCGAAGGCGGTTGATCGGCGTGCATGGCGCGATCTAATCACGAAGGCAGTAGCTGAAGTGCGGAAAAAAGACCTCATACATACAGAGAAGAAGCGGCAAGTGCGGAAGCGGCAAGCACCGATGAATTGTACTCCATCGACATCGAGCGCATGGTGCTGTAGCACATGCGGTCGCGAGTGCCTGAGTCAAGCAGATCTAGTGAGCCATGAGCGAGGCCACTCTGGACCACTACAGATGCGTCGACGGGTCCTGTGGAGAAGTATTCAAAACCGGCGCAGCGTCTGTAGATACGCTGCATTCTTTTTACTAACCGCGTGCTTGCATGCTAAGTCTCTTTATTTCAGGTGGTGGGTTTTCAATTTTGCCTTAATACTTTTCTTTCTCATATCAATGTCTACCTGTACTCTATTCCATTAACTTGCACACCTCGCTTAAGCCAATTGTATTCGACTTCCATAACATTTTGTGTTCGTGGCATTTCCGTATAGTATACTTTCTCACCTCGTGAACTTATCTAGGATTCGTTTGTAAACAACTTATTTCATATGCTCATTAACTTAAGGTTTATGTCACCGTTTCCTTATGCATCAATCGAGTTATTTTCTTTCTTTCTCTCTCTCAAGTGTTTGGCTGTTGTTTGATATCCTCGGTGTGGCTGCGCTTGATGTGCATATTGACAAGGTGCCTACCTGTCTATTACCCACTACCTCGTCCATACTGGCTCCAGAAGACAGTTGGTCGTTGCTGGAGGCGCCGGGGTTCGCGGTCCTTGTGGCCGTGTTAGGATCAAAGAGTGGTTCCATGCATTCAGTGTGGAGCGGACTACGGTCCAGCCACCGCATTGTGTGCGATTGATTCCCAACTACAGCGCGCACACTGTATATATATATATATATATATATATATATATATATATATATATATATATATATATATATATATATATATATATATACATATACATACTGGACATGTGACACGTGGACTGGCAACTTCGCACCACGAATACGAAATGCATACAACCCGGTTCAAGCGCAGAATCTGATCGCTTCACACGGATCATGGATTATCGCTACAAATTTAGTTTGGGAATAGAAGATCTGTCGATAAATCTGGCGGCAGCATTCTTAAGTGGACGATCTCGTGGCTGATGAAAACGTGCTGCGCGTTCTACTATGATCCATTCGCCCATTCTGGTTGAGACAGATAATTTGTTCCATAAATGTACGACGGATAAATAAATTTGTACGACCGTCATTGATTAGCGCAGTCAAGTGGAAATACAGATCCACAGTACGGAAGCGATTGGGAAATAAGCCCGCATTTCGAACCTCGAATCCACATGGAGCCGTCAAGTAAGTTGACCATGGTTTCAGTTGTGTCACTGAGGTGAAGAAACCCACGGACAGGCCATCACGAAAGGTAGTCAGGTATGGAACCTAGCCACCTGATGATAATGGCAATGTGATCAATCTGGGTGTATCGCTAGCCGAAGTCTAGAGGATACAATGTTACGCCTGATAGTCTATTATACCAGAACGAAGTGATACTCAGGGAATTTCGAGGTTGGGGAAATAAGCGACCCAATGGTAAAATTTGAGCACGTCATCAAATCAAATTTAAGTATCTAAATACCGTTAGGCAAATCAGATCATGCAAGTGATAGCGCGTAAATTTGGTAACTGTAACTACGCTTGATAGCGTCAGATCGGTTCGGGAGTAGGAAGCAAACACAACCAAAGAAGACCGTCTCGTGCCGATACTGCCAAACTAGTGGAACTTAAAGGGTTGCTTCGGCTCTGAAGTTGACAAAGATGCGTAACCCGACCTGACAGGTGGTGGTCGCGTTTACATTTCCGGACGCGTGCAACTAATGGTGTAGTTGGTTTGGTAACCGCGTGATAATTGTGGATTCCAGACCCAAAATACTGTAAACATAAAAATGCACGGTGACCTATGTGAACGTAAATGCCACCGGTTGACCTAGCTGTTCCAGAGTATGAAAATTGAACACAGCCAAAGAAATGGGGTAACGGTGGTTGACGAATGGAGACTTGATCACTGTGAAGCCATGGATCCTGGTGTCAAGAGTTCACCAGTGTCATTTCTATTGTTGTTTATGTTGGGGGGCACAGAAAAGAAGTGAGAAGTGAGGACTGGGAGGGGCTCATCATCATTATACACGTTAGCTAGAGATGGGAAACAACTCATCTATCACGAGTGAGGACAATGTCGTCAGCGTACTTCACGTCAATAAGTCGCTCACCTGAGAACAGCTCCACGCCTTCTAATTCGTGCACTGTGAACGCGATTTCCATGACTTCAACAGTGAAGTTGACGAGGAAAGGTGGCAGCGGATCTGTCTTACACTGATGAAGATATTGAAGAGCGGTTGCAGCTTACCGTAAGTCCTCACTGTGACCGAGCTACGAGCGCAAAGTGTTTCGATAATAGTTACTTATTTCTCAGGCACACCTTTCCTTGGCAGACATACATAAAGAGCACCGATTCACCGAACCAAAGGCACCTTTAATGTCGAGGAACGCGACAAAGGTGGACCCCAATGTTTAAGACGATGCTCCAACAATTGACGTAAAGTGAAGACGTGATCGATGCAGTTCCGACCTCGACGAAACCCAGCTTGCTCCTCACGAATCTGCCCTTCACGAGTGCTAGCCAGTCTGTGAAGGATGACAGAGGCGATGGAGTTCAGATTGATTCCTCTGGTTGCTGTATTCCGAAAGTGAGCACCCTTGAAAATCGGGACTATGACAGAGCGGCTCCAGCCGGTTGGGATAGTTTCCTGCTCCCACAGTTTCACTAGTAACCCGTGTAAATAGTCAACAGGAGCAGGCCCCCGAATTTGAAGAGGTCTGCGCGAAGAGCACCTGGTCCTGCGGCCTTATTCACCTTCACTAGTCCGATCTTACGTTCGACTTCTGAGCGAGAGAGTGGATCCAAAGGAAAAGACCAGGAAGCAGGGAGTTCAGTGGCCGGAGAGAACTCCGACAATTCAGGCCAAGTAAATTATCTTTCAGTGCTCAGCCCAACGTTTCAAGCGTTTTGACAAGTTAATGGATTGGCTATCCACTATCGTTATATGCAGTTTCACTAACACCAGATCTCCTGCTTCAGGTTTCCCGTATAAGACGGAATAACTTCCGATGGTTACCAAGGGCGGCGGTCACCTCTATCTCCGGCGCACGATGAGAAGACCAGAATCCGCGGTCTCTATTTAGGTTAGCACGCAGTCACGCACTGAGGTCTTTGCAAGTCTCGTGTTCGCTTCAATCAGGGGTGTGCCGGCGAGCATCCATAAGTTAGACAAACTACGTAGAGACCCAATGTCCAGTTTGGCTGGTAGATTTATCAAATGAGGAATTGCTTTCCGTCAGTAATGTCTGGTAAATATGCAACCAGTGACCTTCAACTGTATTCAGTGAGCACTTACTCAATTAGAATGAAAGCGTACTTCGATACACATTCAGAATATCTACCAGGAGGGGTACAACAGCAATAAGTTGACAGAGAGAAGACATCAGTAGTAACCTGGTTTCACTTAAGGCGATCCCATGGAAATGGAGATACAACAAGTGTAGCATGAAGTAGGTCATCACTGAGGGCGCCAAAAGCTAAGCAGAACGAATGGCGCCTTCAACCAAAGAATATAGCCCAGACATAACCGTAAATCAGCTGGAATTTATCGACGGTTCCTATAATGAAACATTGTCGCATAAATAAGTGCTACTTAGATCCAGGCCACAAACACTGTGAACCGGAAATCGAGATTGCCTGATCACTAAATATAGACTAATTTGGCAAAAGCAGCTAAAAAGTCACTAATATTGTTGGTATGATGCAACGTGTAGTGAAATAGAATAGTTTACATTGCTTCTAGGTAAAGCCAACGGTCGCTGAGGAAACGGCGTGCGGACTTACCAGTCAAAAAGCTTCGGAAACTCTTCCAGCTCGCGTTCGGTATACTCGCTGAGGCGCTTGGGTATGGGCATGACTCGGGGTATCACCCCAGAAAGGTTACCCAAGATATCCTTTGGTATCGTCTAGATAAAACCAGGCATGGTGGTACAATAAAAATGGAGGCACTTACTTCTACACCATCAGGATACAAATGCAATCGCGCAAGCCAGTACATTCTTGCATCGCGATTAGGTAGGTGGACGCGAATTTCACGGCGTAAAACCTATAGAGAAAAATGTACAAAGTTAGGAAACTGAAAGATGCTCAAGCGCAGTATGACAAAAAATTCAACCAGCGGTAATGTGATTAGCATTGGTCTACCTGGCGAGCGGAACGGGGGTGGAGCTAGCGAACCGAAGGCTAAGTACACATCGCCCAAGCGTTCAGCCATGAGTTCACTAGTTTACGAAAACTGAACAGGCTGGATAGGCAGTTTCGAGCTGATTCAAGTTAGTGCAAACGAAGTGTAGCACTGGTAAAGAAAGTGAGATGGATCAGCGTTGAACGAGAGCCAGCATGGGCCGGTGAAAGTCTCGAGCGGAGAACAAAGGTCCAATGAAAATGAACAATGATGGCACGGCGAAGTTATATACCATAGAACATAAAACCCCTGCTCATGAACAACGGATTGTTGACTGTTGGCCAGGCTCTAGTTCAAGGTTAGAATACCGTATTGCGGTGTATAGTTAAGTAAACCCAAAGAGGACAACAGAAAACCAGAGTGGATAGCGACAGCAGGAATTCTGTATAAAGAGGGAACGGAGACGAAAAGGTTACTGAACAAAGCGAATATCAGAGTAGTTTTCCAAACGACTAAACGATGCGGATGATGTTGCTGCATTTGAAGAATTCACCTCCTATAGATAAGACAAGTCAGAAAAGAAAACTGTGCACATATTTATACCGGTCAAAGTTCGATAGCGTGCGCAAGAAAATTTTGGGACATAGGAGACGCATATTACGGTGGCCCAGAAACGATCTTTGTCAAGAAATCCGATGTTAACGGTGTATCCACTGAAAATGTGGAGATCATAAAGAGACTTGCGGTCGACCCCACAAAGGTTGGTTTCTGAAGCAGTGAAAATCGACAAAACAAACAACTGCGTGGACAGAATAGATGGTGTAAAGCTATAGAGTGTCAGGTGAAAAACATTAACTCGGCCAGCCTGGTGAACGCCGGCAGATAAGTAAGGGCTTGTAATGAGCTAACAAAACCAATCGTGACGTAAAGGTTGACGGCTGACGCCTAGATCACAAGGTCACTTGAATCCGTGACCAATGTTGCTCATGAAGTTCATTCCGTTGCGGCATCTCTACCTGGTGAGCCCACACGAGGAGGAATATAGCCGGAGTGAAGTGCTGAGGGAGAACAACACGAAATACCGTTCACTACTGGTACGGTCCTTATAACGTGAATGACAGGTTTACTTCAAAGTAAGCGCAGATCTTAGTAAGGATTACATGTCACAATCCAGACACACCATGGACACTTCAAAACCCAACAGTAACTGGATGTTCTCAATACTCTCTGAAATGATAAGTTCCCGATTAGTTATGAGCATACTCCAGGACATCTAGTCCTCTTCGGTAAACGGCGAACAAAAAGCGCAGCGTATGGCCGAATAAATGCAACAAGTTATTCTCACTTTAAATAAGCGAGAGATCGCTGGTTACTATCCGCCTACTCGAATCCGACATTGAAAATACCGTGGCGACACTCGACAAGAGCGATATCTCGTGAGCAACCACAATGAAGGGAGGATGTGACAACCATAACCTGGAAGGCATCCGAGATGTTCAAACCGAAGGGAACAAGTTTCAGCAATGGAGAAGATAGCATTCACTATGAGCAGAGAGGCGCAAGCTATCAATAAAAAAGAATCACTGCCTTATGCCAAAGTTAGTGTAGGTTGATAAAGCCGTTCAGTTAGTTGCCATGAGCGAAGTAACTTCAGTATTCACAGTATCGTCACGGAAACGCAACGGCCAGAAGCGAAGTAAGCAGCCATCACCACGCGCGCCGTTAGGGTTCAGAGGCAGAACAAGAGGCTGATAGTCCTGTAGTAGCAGCTGGCGTGATATAGGAAAGGATGACTTCCTTACTTTTCTAAAAAGGGCTATTAGGGTAACAGATGGTTCAAAAGAAGGACGATGCCAGTTGTGTAGTAAGACGAACTCAATAAACCCCGCTTGATGTAGGGAAGGTTAACGACATCTCACGGTGGAACCCAACACTATTTAAAGTGATCCAATGCAGGGTATGTAAAATATTCCTTACTTCATGACAACAAAGGCATAGGCAGTACACCGGTAGATGGCGTCGGTGCTACGATACAAAGTGATAATCATCAGTTGCGAACAGGCCATGGATACTGCTCAAATAAGCGACATATGGATTAGAAGTAAGACGTCTGAATCACTCGATCACCGGTAGGCTCAGAGAGAAACTTCTAGAGTAGGCACATCAAACCGGCGAGCAGGGAAAACATCGACAGCACACTAGCACAGTGCTAATGTTTGGTGGCCATGTATTGGCTAGTGGTTGTAAGCTGGGCATGGTAAAATTACGCCACACAATCATAGACGGGAGCGGGTATCATGGCCCGGGAAGCAGAGGCCGCAAGTCATACAACTGAAGAAATATACTGCGCAAACCCTTAACTCATAGAACTATGCAGCCGAATGAGCTTTAAGATACAAGAGAACAAACAGTTTGGCCACGGAACTTGACACCAACACACAAATCTGGCGGTCTGAAACTTTGTGGTAAGCCAATTAATATATGTCACACTGTACTGGACCAGAGAGTGAGATACTCATACTCGCTCAACTTCATCGAACAAGTAACTTATATCATTGCAAAAACCAGATAGAGCAATACGATGTTATTTAGAACATACAACTTAAAAGAATCTATACTCTGCGCCTACTCATTACTTTCACGTCCCTTATTGGAATACTGCACAAGTGTACAGCAGAACAAACAAAAGAGATCGAATTGTACTAGAGAATGCACAACGAACATTCAAAAAGCGCTTATTCAGCGCCTCATCGAAATTAGCCGATTTTGGACGATATGTGAAGCTCAAACTTGAACACCTCAGGTCGAGGCGCACGAAGAAAAACCTAATCATATTCTTTAATGTCTTGCACCAGAAAATGCGTTTCCAACCTCAGCATGACCATAACACATGGTTGGCGGCATCCGGTTTCGGATTTGCCTGTCACTGTGGCCAGCCACAGGACACCTGCGCCTACAGAGGTACCATGGGCGGCTTGCGCTGCACCACCCACAGCTCTAACCACACACCCCATATCTAGTGTAAACCCGAAGGAATAAGACCGGGAGGCATGTGGATGGGAGCCACGTTTCATCAACGGAGCCGGCCCACACTCCTTCACAGGCAAACACAAGCACACTGTATTTGGGGAATCAAGCGCACACAAGGCGGTGGCTGGACCGTAGTCCGCTCCACACTGAGTGCATGGAACCACTCTTCGAGCCTAACACGGCTACAAGGACCGTGCACCCCGTCACCTCCAGCAACGACCAACTGTCTCCTGGAGCCAGTATGGAAGAGGTAGTAGGTAATAGACAGGTAGGCACCTTGTCAACATGCACATCAAGCGCAGCCACACTGGGGATATCAAGCAACAGCCAATCACTTGAAACGACAAAATGAAATAAAATAAATCCAATAATGCATACAGATACCGTGGCATAACTCTTCGCCAAATTAGCATATGAAGTCAGTTGGTTAGCAATGAATCCGCGATAAGGAAAAACTGTCCACAAGTTACTCAAAAATGCTACAAACGCAACAAAGTTACCGAAGATAAGCGCAATTAGCGTAAGCAACGTGGCCAGCTAATAGAAGATTATTCAGATAGGCAAAACAAACCAAATAAAGTGAAATGAAATTTATGCAGCTTAAAGAGACTTAGTTTAAGTGTAAGTTGGTTTAGCCCAACTGCGGTGAAGAAGCATCAAGAATGCAACATCAGCCTCAGCATGGGGCACACATACATAACACAAGCACCATGATACAACACATGAAATATTAAAAAATTTCTGTAGTTGAACCTAGGTCGAAGATCACCAGATCCGTTAAATTCCTCACTAAAAAGTTTACCAAAATTTGGAACAAATTACCATACGAAAAACGTGCTTGCAATCCAGAGCACGGATTTCGCTAAATGACCAGCAAACATCTGATCGTGCAAAACGTGATCCACCTACTGGGATATCACATAACAAATAGCCAAGCATATGAACAGGGTCTAGGATTCATATAATCCAGAAAACAATCTACAATAGAGTGAATATTGCGTTAGGAAGGCCTCTTCACTCAGAGCGTCCATCTTCTTTCTTTCTTCACGTCCATGCCAACCCCAATGTTATCAACAGTGTGTACTGAGAAACAGAAACAAACTGAACACGTCTCCTGGTTCTGCATCTTCATCGTCAACGTTCTTAGAACACCTATTGAAGTCTACCGTTACGTTCCCATTTTCTAAGCGCCTCTCTTGCTCCAGTATCATACCCGAAACCCGATACTACTGAATAGCCTTGGGCAAAGCAACCTTCACAATCCGCTTAAAGGAAACTTGTGCATATATATTATATTTGCATTAAGCCCACTTTCCAAGTATTCAAAATCATCTTTAACAGTTACTGTATGGATACTCTCAAGGGGCCCACCAATGCCGAGATAGACATTCTATGCATCTTCAGTAACACGCTGAAACAAAAGACAACTTTTATACCCAACAAAATTGAAAATCGATTTCCAGTACTGCTGTACATTTTTCTATCATTCGTGGTCGATGCACTAGAAAATGCTTTTGTTCACCTGAACCTGCCGTCACAGACGTGTCTCGCTAAAAACGAGAAGATACACGTTATTCCTTTAAATACCCAAAGCCAATGACTCCATCTAAAAAAAACAGAAAGTCATTGTCACTAGAATCCGGAGCATGTAGCAAAAGGTTAAATAAGAAGCTGCAGGTGTACGTGAGTGATTGAGCGACACAGCATATGTCGAGTTAAAGTTGGGAAATGATGAGCACTGATAGAGGTTGACCGAGATAACAAGGCGTGAATGCTGCAAGAACAAGGGACACTGGTTTGAAGGCCGGTTTAGGCACGGAGCTACAAACAAGATTTCAAAGTTACGGTAAGATGACAGACAATTTGAGATTGGCCGAAGAGACGAAAAAATGGAGGTGAATTTTGTAGATAGGCGTTCTGTGATTGGATATGCCGACAGATGTTTGGATTAAAAGTGCCAGCATCTAACCTTCGAGTCAAAAACCTGACTCAAAAAGCAGTGGATAGCAGGTCTATCCAAAAAGTGCGAACGCAGAGCTCCCAACTAGATCTGTTTGGCGCTAGCCACGTATAGCCCTTGTAAGTGCAGGAAACTTGACGCGAATTTCGATAGAATTAGTTGATAAGCTTCGAACAGGATCAAACACAGGTAGGATTTAGTGAGCTTTTACCTTAACGGTTATAATAATAATAATAATAATAATAATCATAATAATAATAATGTGTCAGCTGTACGCCGTAACGGCGCTTCGCTGCCGTACGACCACCACCAGTCGCACGCCGGCTGAGTATACCGCGAGGACGCCCACCCCTACGCGGATTCGAATCCGCGCTGCAAGATTACGAGACAAGCTCGTTACCTCAAGGCTACGGGCCGACACCTTAACGGTTGGAGGCTTGCGGTGGATGGCAAGGACCAGCTCGTGAGAACGGTGCGATTTTACATTCAGTGAAAACCCTAAAAGTCCATTCTCTCGTAACTGACGTCACACCAACTGCTTAGATTGGTAAGACTGGAGACAATGGCCTGTATCCTCGATGTTGCGTCTGTGATCACATTTTCAACACGAACACTGTCAAAGTAACTGCGCAAGCGATGGATATTTTAGGCGTAGTTAAATAAAAACGTTGAACTTTGAAACCACAAAGCATGGACTAAACTATCAAACTGGTGCGAAGGTCATTCAGTTAATGTTAGGAGACAGTATTGCAAAGCGGACACAAGTAATCAGCAAATGAAAATGTACACAGAAAGACAAATGGGTACCCGTGACTCACACCACTGCCGTTAGTGGAGCTAAGCGATAATTTAGTATAGGTCTACTCAAAGTACCGAACATTTATACAGATAACACCAGCACGACACGTCCGTAACGCCCAACACTTCCCAATAACAGGAACTGAAGGGAGGACGTGTTGAAGCACAAGATTGAAACCATATATGAGATTAAAAAGTCCGTTTGCGGACAACCGTAAGCGTACGATACTGGTCAGAAGCTGACTAATGTTAATATACGGCCAGTAAGGTAGGCACCAAAAGGTAGCACGCCTAATAATAAATGTTTTTTGCAATACTTAGCCAATGAAATGGTATTGGAGAAAAATATACTTCGGTGCTTAAGGAAATCCATCAAGGACTCTCTCTTGCTGTACTTTGAAGATGAAAAAGCTTAGCACGCTGAGACCTGTAATACACAGATATTCTATAGAAGCCGGTGACATGAAAGTTATGAGTTGTAGTCGACTAATGTAATCAGGATGTATGATTTATAGGCCAAATGCTATACTAGGCTTTTGAAGATAAAAAAATAAGAAACAGATAAAAAGGGAAAGGTGCTATCAGCAAGTAAGACAACTAGCAGTTAAACATATCTCAATTAACGATCGGGAAGATTCGCTCTGAGACAATATCCAGCCGAGTGCAAAATGGTTGTTCGCATTACTAGTCACATGAAGAATATCAGGTCTGTGGGCGGCAGCCCCCCGAAAGAGACAATAAACTAGAAAGGAGTTATAGATAGAAATTTATCACATCCAGACTCCGACAGACAGCCATTACACGCCGGGAAAAGCACTTTACGGCCGTTTCATCTTTTCGGGAATCGTAAGCAATGCGCATTCCATTTGACACTTGTAGAGCTAACCCGGAAATCGACTGCTGCCTACATAACTATAACATTCAACACCCCCTACTACTTCTCTCTAGAGAAGAGTTCAAAATGGGCAACTATTTCCGCCACAGCAGCACAATGTGATATGTAACGCAGATTTGTTTACAGCATATGCACAAAGCTTTACTGGAAGGCTAGTAAAGGTTGTCGCGTTGTTTTACAGTCGAAATTTGCTAGTAAGCAACATTGAGTACAAATGAATGCAGAAATCAATACCTTAAGCCCGTACCCAAATGAACTACATGAGAATAGATCTGTTCATAGCAGTGTTTGTTGAATCACAGGTCAGCTGTGTAGTGAAGGGATAACAGTAAAAAGGGACTGTGCAACGAAAAAGTTTAAACAATTGGTCTAAAAAGTTGGACGGTGGTTACACGTCTGTATTCATCGTTTTAGGTGACTACCAAGTAGGCCACGAGTCGAGACAAATAGTGAGTAGATACAGGCACTCCAAACAAAAATAATGCGCGCAACTACCTGCCAGTGGCAAGCAAGTGCAGTATAGTTAACCGATGGGTTACATACAGGTCTAAATTGATTGCTGGCGCGAAGCTAAAGTGTACACTAAAAACTACGAAGCAGTCCCCTAAATAGAGGGGACAAAGTCGCTTCAAGTGGTAATGAAGTAGTGGTTTATTAAGTTTGGTGTAGAAGATAATAAAACGGGAAGCGCCTTAGCTGTACACCTAGTCAAACTATAATGATAGGGTGGTGATAAAGGATATCACCCAGCGTAGCCAGCGGTGCTACTTTATACTCCAATTCACCAGTAAGTTGACAAATGTAGTAAGAAAAGGTGTCAGTTGTAGTCTGGAAAATAGAAATGCTTTGCTGACACGCAGTTATGATGGTTATGTGTGGAATGGGACACTCCAAGTTCAATGCACCTACCCAGATTCAAACCAAGGGCCGGTTGATCACAAACCAAACGCCTGGATCACAATTGGCACCGGTCGGATAGAGTATATCCACTGAAATGCATCGCAAATAAATTGCTAGGACCCCAAAGCAATGTCGTATTCAGGGGGATGAATAGTGAATTCAGTCGAGAAAACAAGTTAGCTGACAGAACAGACCTATCGTTCACGGAATGACATGTTTGCCAAAGCAATCCTCACAGTGCGAAATGGCAGCACTTTATGTGAAGCCATAAGAAATCAGGTAAGTAACCCCGAGGAGGGAATGCGACGGTTAACTTGACAATGGCCAATAAACCACCAGGAAAAGGAGCAGAGTTCTGCATCAAACACACGATACAAAGATAGCTGCTGAAAATTATTATGTAAGAAGCATGGGTGTGTTATGAATACCGGAGTTAGAGCCGAAAAGACACCCATGGTTGCGCCTTGAGTGCACAGAAGCGGGGGCCGTTGAACAAGGTGTAGTGTGATAATGAACACAAGGCCGGACAAAAAGTAAAACAGATCAAACTACAGTCCAAGGTAAGTTCCGAATCATAGATACTGCTACTCAGAGGTTAGGTCAAATTTGACACTAATAATATAAAAACACTTGTTAATATGGATAGTGATAGGTGTGGTGAGAGATCAGGGTGGCTGATGTAACTGGTTAAGTAATCCTAAAGAAAAAAAGTAGCTTAAGGTAATAGAACTGCCCATTATAAGTCAGCTTCAAACAGCGTCGGTGCGGACGACAACAAGGAAATATCCGAGATGAAGAGTTCAGACAAAATGCAGATGAAAAGCTCACTTCAGTTGGATCGCGCATATGCAACTCCTCCATGGTATGGTCCACGCGCCGCACTCCAAATCTACAAGTGGCAAATACAGTAGTGACACCTACCTGGTGTACGAAGGGTACAAAAACCGTTTCCAATACCGGCTATTGTCTTTTACGGCTATGTGACGCGTGTTGCATACGACAACATGGCAGCCAAAATCGGCTGTGAATATTAGATAAGGAAGAGGATGTGTAACGGGAAATTACACTGAGGGTCGTAGTACCGGATGTGCTTCCCCAACAAGTACCCGGCGAGCTTCTCACCAGATAACATGGGACACTGCATATTGGCATCATATATGTACCATGGTCTGACAAATGCCCTCCATTGCTGTTTTTAGCCTTGTAGTTGAACAGATCAGAACTTACTTGGACGCGCCAATTAGACATAACAGTACGTGCCTAGTGGCAAAGATGAGGCTGGAAGTAGAAGAGAAAAGGCGAAACAATTAATAGGTGAAAACAAGCCTGTTGCTTTAGATAAGTAGAAGTCAACTCATAAGGAAAGTTCCGAAACAAAGGGAACAGAAAATATAATACGGTTTGAAAGCTAATAATCCGAAAGGCATTAAGCTGTTACATCCTAAAAGTGGAGTGTGGATACATATACTGCGTGAAGTTGGAAATCATTTGATGAAATAGTGAAGTTAACGCTATAATGATTTCCCTGTAGCAATGATACTGGGGCGAGTAGCTCCGCCAATACGCCGGGTTAGGTAGGGGTGGTTTACGTGGTTACCAGTCCGAAAGATATAATGTTGATAATGTCACCAGATGGGCATTCCGCATCAAAAGTGAATCAAATTTTGTGATTCAGATCAATAGCTGTTAGGGATATTGTGCTCAAACGAATTACGTTATCTTTCTGGAATTTGTTTACACTATAATTGCTCGGGCTGTGACAGTCCTTCCTAATGATACAAACGCCAAACCCAACAGACTAACCAAATCGGGGACGCATTTTTCATCAACTTTCGCTGTCAACTGTCTTGGCTGAGTAACTGACCGAGAACACGAATAAAGCAGAAGTACGTTAAACGCAGGTTGATCGAGATGAGGGGTGCACGCAGTCATAGTTGATGTGGATGAAGGAGTAAGCATTAGAAAAGAAAGGAAATTGGCCCGTGAGCTCTCAGTAAAAATGACAACCAAGTGCGAAATGGCGAAAGGCGCGGTTCATTTCAGTGTATGAAGTGTAATCCACTGGCCAAAGCACTATTGATTTAGTTACCGCACATCCACCGGAGTAGTCGAAAGTAGAGAAGAATGAAAGTAAAGGACTCAAGGAGGAAAGGAGAACAAAGACCGGCATGAGTAATGGGGCGGAAAAGTTACCATTTAATTGTTAGTCGGAATGTGAAGGCGTAACAAGTTAACGAATCACATTCTGTTAAAGGATGGTTTTTAACACAAATGTAACGGATCTTAATGTGTTAACCCAAAGGTGATGGAACATACCAGCGCATAAATAGCCCTTTATAAGATTTTAGGTGTTTCATTGTCACGCAACTAACTGGTACTAGCTGAAATAAGAAGAATATCGGCAAACAACGCGAATAAAAGCGCGCAGTTGTTACATGCACATGTACAGTGAAATGTTACCATAACGAACGCAAAGGTAACGAAATGTTCAGGCCCCTTGCTCTTACATCCATTTAGAATGTTAAAACATTGCTGATCAGTTACAAACTTAGTCAAAAAGTAAAGTCCAAAACTTTTTTATCTGGCATAAGTCGACCGGTGACGGAAAGAAATGCACGCCTGGCTTGCAATCCTTGGGTCACCGGTTCGAATCCACGTAGGTACGAGAGTCCTCGCGGTATACTCAGCCCACGCGCGACCGGTGGTGGCGGCGTAGCAGTGAAACGTTGGCAGATTGTGCCGGTGTTCTGCTGATAACTTTTAAAAGATGTCAAAGGAAATCTCTCACTAAGTGTATTTACTTTTTTAGCATAAGGAATTTTCACTATAACGAACAAATTTACGAGATCCCCTAAATATTGTTATACTAGTATTTGATTGTACGTAGATACTCAGCTCATAACAGGGAAAGTGCTACAAAATATGGTTAAAGGCAGTTGAAGGAGAGGAAAATGGACACTCGAGGGTGGACAGATTGTCAACCGGTTTGCCATCGTGTAATTCCGGACCATATCCGACAGTATGCCAGCCAGGTGTGATCCTGTTCTTTGGGTCCCCAATAAGGTGTAGGGAACGTCCTACTGCGGCCAACGGTAATATCAGCACCTTGACATCCCGAACTTAGTTTGCACAGTGGCCACCTTTCCATCATTTAACAGTATGAATCAGAGCGCTGCTGAGAAAAGGTGGAATGGAAAGAAGGGAGGCGCCAGCAGTAGCACGTTTTCGCTTATCCGCTCTGCTGTACGTAGCAGATAAAGCGACGCTTGTTAATCTGCGTGACCGCCAAGGCAGGATGTGTCTGAAGTTTGAAGAAATAGACGTGGTTGTATGTGGGCTGAGATACTGCCAGGGCGCGCACACCTAGACAGGACGATTGGAGTCTTCAACCAAAGGCTTTGGCTCAAAAGCCTGTCCGTAATGCAGTGGTAAGTCGGCAATGGCTAACGTTCGCAGTAATGAATGCCATCCCATTTCGAACCCCCAAACAGCAGGACCTGGAGATTGAGTTTGTCTGACCTCTAACAATTAAGCAACTGGGTAGGAGTAGCTCTCAAGGGGACCGAATGCACCAACTAGTACAGGTAATTATAAAAAAGTCGCACCATGTTAAGATTGCGACGGAGTTAATAAAAGGTAAGTGATGATGAGATCTCCTCGAAGCCGGCGGTAATGCACTGAATACATACCCAAAGTAAGTAGACACTCGGGGCACATTTGTCCCGTAAATCGTAGAACAACTTGGCATCCACCCTTAAAACCCCATTGAGCTCCATTTTAGCCCGGATGAGGCAAAGCGGTCAAGCCTGGAAGTGGTATTGCACATAAAGCCGAAGGGAAGCTGAGAACAGATCCAGCTTCGACAGTTTACACTCGGAGAGAACGCAAAAGCTCCCAAAAGCTCCAACTCTTACTAGATGGTTGTCCAGCAGCCTACGAAGTCTCTTTTATCCTACAGCACCTTCGGTATACAACACACGAAAGCCCTCGGAACTCTCGACCGGACGCATACTACACACGGTAAACCATAGGTAGGCGCTAGAAGTCTACGACTAATTGTTCAAGGTCTAATGGTTATCCTCTCATACGTTTAACTAGCGAAACTATTCTCCCGATTTATAAAGTGGCTGAAAACCAAAAGTGAGTTAAATACTTGCATAATTTAAGCAACTTGAAAATTCCCATTTAGAGTCAAAAGAACACAAGACCATAAGTGAACAATTGTTGTCGATGGTTCTCTTCAGACAATTACAATCATATTTAAGGGTAAAATAATGAACTGAAGTCAACTCATTGGCTCAAGTTACATAGTTACCGAACGGTTCATTGATGGAGGCTAAAAGTTGACCGTTGACCTGACAGGTCGGTTGCTTGGTACCGAGCTTGATCTGGGGCAATCGACCTCAGCATCGTTCGTTCTAGCTGACCAGGGAAGCTGTAAGGTATGGAGCAACTTCTTGTGCGAGCATAATGAAGGTTGAAACAAGCGAATGCAAATCGATTCAGCTGTCGCGAGCGCACGGAGGCGCAAACCTCTTGATTGATGCTGGGGACCCTGTAAATTATCCTGAAGGCACGCTTTCCATCAACTTGGTGCCCCGTGTCGACAATATGAGCCAAAACGGCACTGCTATTAGCCCCAGTTCCCCCTTGAGGCAACTAGCGCGGGCAGTGCTCCTTTACGCGTTTGGACAAGTGCCGTGCCGTTAGACCAATATAAGTAGCGTCACAAGCGCACTTGAACTGATAAATAACCATAGATGAGGTCAGCAATGGCAGCATATCCTTATTGCGTGAACAAACATGTGGTTCAGTAGAAAATGTACACTCTGACCTGGCTGCTGGGAATATCGACTTGACTGCCGCTGAAAGACTTTTGGTTAGCCGCTCGGCAGCGGCATCCCCCTTAAAAGGTAATCTTAAAAATAACTCCTTCGCCGCAGTTAAAACTGGTACCGGCTTAGGCTTTTCTTCAAAATTCTTTGCAACAAATCTATCAGAGTAGCCATTCTCGCGCAGCGTATTCTTTATAAAGGCTAGTTCCTCATCCAGGGTGTCCTGTGAGCAAATTCTATGTGCTCTTGTGGTAAGGCAGTTGATTAAGTTTCGCTTATATCTCAGTGGGACGAAACTGTGAAAATTCGTGTACTGACCAATCCATGTATATTTTCTGTAGACTTTCCGCTGGATGGAGCCGTCTGGCATCCTAGTTAACAAGACATCTAGATACGGAATCCGATTACAAGTTTTCACCTCGTAGGTAAATTGAAATGCTGCGTGAGCCCGGTTAAACCGATTGAGAACCTCATCCAGGTTGATACATTTATCCGCCACTATAAATATAACGGTGGTAGTAGTCAAAAGATTTTCTCTCCGCTTGCAATTTTGTTCGCTCCAATTTGGCCATGAATATATCTGCAAACAACGGACCGAGGGGCGATCCCATGGCTACACCATCCTTTTGCCGGTAAAATTTACCATTAAATAGAAATTGCACATTCCATGTGCACCGCATCAATAAGCTTTTCAACTCAAGCACAGGTATACAAATCATAATTTCCAACTTCGTTATCTGCTCGCAAATGTAATCGATGGTTTCGATCAGCGGGACATTAGTGAAAATCGAGACATCAAAGGGGAGCATCACTTTCTTATTAATTTTGGCCTCCTTGATGTTTTCGACGAACAAAAACTGTCACGCAGGCTGTAAGTCACAAGCTGTTGTCTCACCGGCTCAAGAATTCCTACAAGTCACAGGGCAACTGCGTGGTAGGGGAAGTTAATCATTGACAGAATAGGACGAAGCGGGATGTCAGCCTTATGGATTTTTGGCAAGCCGTAAAGTCTCGGAACGTTTGTTCCCCAAGGTCTAAGACTGTCATACAAAGCATCGGTTATGTACCCCTTGGCCCGAAGCTGTTGGAGGCTTTTAGTGATCTGTCTCACAATCTGTTCCGTTTGGTCAGCTTCCCTCGTATCACAGGAAAACTTCATCTTATCGCTCAGAATGGTTGTGAGTTTATCAATACAGTCTTTTCTGTCTAGTAACACAATCCCGGCACCCTTGTCCGGCTTGCACAGAATGACCTCCTCATTGCGTTTAAGCTCCTTCAGCACGTCTAGGTGCTTTCTTGTTAATGGACCACGATTATGGACACGATGTTTACGATATTGGTAGCAACAATGTACCAAGAAGAACTTGAAGCGTTCCAGATCCATATTAGACGTACGCGTTAACCCATTCGTTTGGTCATATAGGTTTCCGAATTGCAACTCGTAATGAAGTTGGTTGTCTCTATCTCTAGGTGCACAAAATTTTAAACCGAGCGATAGAACTTCAATTAAAGTTGTATCCAGTTTCAGGCTAAAAACGTTGTGTACCCAGTGGGGGAACCAGTTGCTTGCAATTAATACTTAAAACCAACGAACATCCGAACAACAAAGTTATAGTTGCGGATAGACCATGCATGGTAGTGGTGATCAATGAATGGTAGCGGTGATGAATTCTGCGTTCAAATCTACGCTCATTGACAGTTGCTGTTCGAACAGTTCGTGCCGTCTAATCATCTACGTATAAATATGTGCGCCGGAAGTTCTCTTCCAGCAAAGTGGATTTCCGTAAGCTCTGTCACTTGCAAGTGTCTTGCTCTGCCATGTGAAATTATATTTTAACCGATAATGCATGCATGAAGGTGATTTGGTGGTTTAAACATTCTTTGCACTTGCTTTCGTTTGTTTGTCGCATTTTCGCTACCATTCACTCGATGATGCGACATTGGCCATGGCCCACGCCTCATGGATGCGCAGCGACACAGAGGTCATGTGGCCCAAGTTATCTTCAAGTCAGCTGCAAAACGTATTGCTTCACAATCTTCCTGCACCAGCTTCTTCGCGCGTCTGCAAGGTGCGATGTCACCGAGTAACCGGTAAGCAATGAGTTCTACTTATCTTTCTCGATTGTCAGGTGATTACGCTAAAGCTAAAATGCCTGAGGATAGGCTCATGATGTGCCCCGAACTGCCTTCCGGTGACGCAACGTGTGAATAATAACTAATGTGTCAGCTGTACGCCGTAACGGCGCTTCGCTGCCGCGCGACGCAACGTGTATCCTGGGGCGGGTGGGAACGCGAACAATGTTCGCAAATGTAAGCTGTATATTTTTTTAACATACCATAACTCTCCCCGACTGCGAAACGTCTCAAAACAGCGAAGCAACATAGTTCACATATACTCCCGTGAGGTTCAATACTCACCACCACCGTCGATGCTTGATTTATACGTCGAAAAGTAACTGAGAGCCCCTTTTTCCTCCGTGGAAAACACCTTTGATCGAACCAAGTGCCACTAGGCATTAGTC